AGATTGGAAATTAACACGCGCAAACAACATAATTGAAAAATAAATAGTACAAGTGTTTCAGAGTTAAGCCGGAATTGAAAGCCCCTCCAGCTGTCATTCACACCCAGCACCTGGATTATCAAGGGGCACTTTCATATCAGCTTCAAAGGGTCAATTTCCTATAGATCTGCATTTGAATGTCCTTGCTGACTTATTTTACAATATAAGCTTGTTAGAAAAAAAAAAAAAGAAGCATAATTAACGATCACTAATTCTATTAATAGGTCTCTTAGCAACTACATCACTTAAGGACACTGCAGCCACATTCCTTATAAAAAAAAAAAGTAAAATCTGTAGCAAGTATTGATTTCATTATTGAACGCTCATACTGCAGGATGAGGGCAGTGATCAGCCATTAACCTAAACAAAAACAGTTAAGTTTACACTTTCACCGACTTATCCGAGCTGCATGTTTTTACATCAAGAAGTGCAAATCTAATGCAGACGTTGGTGCTTGTCATCTTTCAAACGATGCAGACGTGAGAAGCAGACAGAGGGAGCAGATGGATGGAAGGGGGGGGAGAAGTTACTCGCTGCAACCCGTATAAAATGGTTGAGAGCAGACAGACCCCCGCTCTCCTCCTTTTGGCGCTGTAGTTGCCTAGCAACGTGAGGCTGGAGTGGAAATGGTGGAGTGATGCTGCTGTATTTTATGAATGAAATTGGAAAAAAAAAAAAAAAAACCAGTGATGGGAGGGTGAGGAGTGGGTCGAGGCGCACACAAACACGTGCACTCTTCACTGCTGTTGCTGCCCCCCCCCCCACCCCCCACATATCAAATCGGAAAGCAGATCAACAGAAAGCAGCACAAGATCAACAAAAACTTTATTAACCCCCATCACTTTTACAAATGATGAGGCAAAGAATATATACGGAGTACAAAATGAAACTACGCCTTCGTATTGTGAAGACAGAACAAGCACTACGTTATTTACATTAAGCCCTTCATCCACACGATTTGACAGCAACATCTTGCACATTTCACCTTCGCCTTCAGATTTTATTAAAACATTCAAAGGGTACTGTAACTACACCGTGTTACTCTGCAGTACCCACCCTCTTCCAGTAGAACATGCTAAATTGACCCAAAATTTGTTTCACATGCAGACGCTGCACATCACAACTCTTCCTGCAATACATTTAGATGTACAAAGCTGTTCCCAAGGATTTGATTTGCGCACAAAAGGGTATGAAAAACAAAGTTAAAAAATAAAGAATCACTGCTAACATACGTGTCATGGCTCTGGTGATGCGAGCCAGTTTAATGACTGCGCCACCTCCATGACTCAAACCTTTGAAACGTCAACATCTAATGCAAAATTATGATAATTTAAGGCAATTCTGGCTGTGCAGATCGGAGCGAGCGTACAAGAGGGGAACCAAAGCTAGCAACGATTCCACGCCCACCCCAACCTGTGCGCCATAGAGAAATAATGTCCATGTTTCACGTCGATACACCCATGGCCTCCCTGTGGATATGTGGAGTTGTTCAAAGAGCTCCTTGTCCATTATGTGATACAAACTGTTACATGCAGTCCATGGAGTTGTCTGGCATCTGTCCAAGGGGTGGCAACTTTCCAGGTATACAGCTGGGATGAAGCATTCCACCAGTGTTTGGGGACGGGTCGACATTCTCGCTGTCCTCCATCTTGTCAGCCAAGCCCTCCCAGTTAATATGGAAGCGGGTGACACGAGGATTGGAGGCCAAAATATTCCTCTGGAGCTACAACGATGAAAGAAACAATAGTGAAACATGAGCATACGGGACATTTTGTTGTCCCAGAGCCACACATAAATACAAAGAACAATAATAAATATTCAGATTATGCAAAGGCCTGTCACGATAACAAAATTTGCTTGGCGATTGTCTCAGAAATTATTGCGATAAACGATAATATTGTTTGAAATTTGACCATAATTAGTAAATGTCAAATTTAAGAAGAAGTGTTGGCTAATTTGTTTCGAGTGTAGTGCCGTTTTTGACCACTGGATGGCAGTATAAGACTGAACCGAAGGACGGATAGTGAGGGAGCGAGCAGCGTGTGTGTAAGAAAAATGGGAGGGATGCCACTAGACGCAACATGGGCTGTCTCGTTTTCCTTTATTTTGGTTCTCAAAACGACACTTGGTGTGGTTTGAACTCTTTAGCATTTTTCAAACAAAGCTTTTAATAAAAAATAAAAAAAATCAGTAAACAAGTTCTCAGCTTCTTTTTGCAGAAAAAAAAAAACTTTACACACAGGCATGGGTTTTAACCGTGAATTTTGGAGCTTCCATAAGACGGAGGTCAACCAGGTTTTGGTAAGTAAAAAATAAATAAAATAAAGTATACAAAACAAAACTGGACTTTTATTGCGTAGCTGACGATGTTTCACTTCCCTTCCAGAAGGCGCATTTACCGTAATTTTCGCCCTATAAGTCACGTTTTTATTTTTGTTGTTGCATAATTTGCATGCACTGCGACTTATGGGCCGATGTATTTATGGATGTTTTCCTCATGTGTATAAACCAATTTTTGGCTGAGATATGACCGTTTTCATTCATTCCGCCTGAAAATATTGAAAACCACCTTTTTTCGGTGGATAGATGGCAACAGAGCGGTATGGTATACCGTTGTGTCATGTAATAGGTAAAAGTGACTATAATGACAAATTCAGAAAAGTTCAAGACACAAACAACTGGACTTTATGTAATATACTTTTCTTTATTGATTTTGTCTTGAACTTTTTTTGAATTTACAATGTCCTGAGAATCTTCACCAGTTATTAATGACACAACCGGCTTGCCATAGACTCCCACCTTCGTTCTGCTCGCTGCTTGGAGCAACCGTCAAATCAGCTTCATTTCGCTGCACTGCCCTGGCGAAATGCAGCTGATTTGACCATTAAAGTGAATTTAATAAGTACAAGTTCAACTGAGACACACCTTTACTATAATTTCAAGCAAACAAATAATTGTTTTTAAGTGTTAATCTTGTAAAATTCTTGTTAAAGTCCACCCATGCACGCTCCCGCAGTCGCCATTTGGCAGCCAATCGCAACACTGGCCCACGTTTCTGGGTTGTCAGCGGCGACGCATCAGCAGTGACGCATAATAAATGCAATGTATATGGAGAAGTAACGTATTTATGGATGTTTCCACTTTATTAGACATATTTGGACTGATGCGACGTGTACGACAGAAAATACGGCAATAAAAAAGTAATTGATTTTCATAAACATTGGCTGCTCAAAATGTAGCTTCATGGCTCACTGTTTTCTTCACCAAACACTCAGAATTTAGTGACTGTAAAAGAAAGTTTGAGTTCCCAACTTGTGTCCAATGGTCGCAGCCCAGTCAGTCAGATACCACCCTTTACACGTGGGATTTAAAACAAACAAAAAGGAAAATAAAGTCTTTAAAAAAAGGGTTTTCTTACAAACAGCCTGCAAAGATTTTAAATATGAAGATAAATCAGTCTTTAAAGTATTCAACACACGAGTACAAGATTTGCATGCGTACAATAAGATCGGCAAGCGTGCCACAAGTTTTACAAATGCATAAACGGTTTTTCAAACTACACATTTCAACTTGCACAAGTAGGAACATTCAGTGCATACAAATGGTCAAATACACGTGCACAAATCACCTGCTGTGGACGCATCAGTCAACACACACACATGTCTGTGAATGTGACTTTTGAGACTTTCTTACTGCTCCTGGTTCACAAAGGTAATGCTGCGTTCAAGATTGGCTGGGACATCTGAGCTTTATCAGATTTACTGAGTTATTGAGAAAATACTCATTTCTACCTTGTCACAGCCGCTCTTAACCCTTATATTAAAACACATACGGTACATTTAAAAAAACATTTTCCCGTATTTTCTTCCTCTGCTACAAAATATAGAAAAATATATTTTTCTGGAAAAACTACCAGAAAATGTATTTTTCAGTTGTTTTTAACAGAGGAAGAAAATACAGCAAAATATATTTTTCTGGTTTTACCAGGTAGTATTTAGAAGAGAACGCTAACTTTGTGGACTGTGCAGGTGAAACAAACATGAAAAGAAAATACATTTTCCATTAATAACTAAATATTTTTTTTTCCTGAAAATTTTTCCAGATGAAGAACCTGCTCATTTTTGGTTGTTCGTTTTGGAATCCAGTAACGTTAATGTGAACATATGTGTTTTAATATAAAGGTTAACAGCTGCTGTGCCAAGCTAGAAATTAGTTTTTTCCCGAATAACTCGGTAAATCTGGTAAAGCTCAGATGTCCCAGCTTTTTACCAGCCTTGAATGCAGCACTACTTTATGAATCTGAAGCAATAAGAAAGTCTCAAAAGTCACATTCAGACAAGCTGATCTGTGCGCACGGACTGACTGATTCATCCACAGCAGATGATTTGTGCACGTGTATTTGACCATTTGTATGCGCAGAATACTTGTGCAAAATGAAAAGTGTAAATTTGACAAACTGTTAATGCATCTGGACGCTTGCAGATCTTATTGTTGGCATACAAATCTTGTAAGCTTGTGTGAATCATTTTTAAACGGATTTATCTTCATATTTAAAACATATCAATGCTTCATTCTATACTTCAAGCCAAAACTTATACCAGCAGATGGTAGCAAATCTTATCATTAAAGGCCTTTTTTTTTTAACAAGTATGTGTCATTTAATGTGTTTATGTGTTGCTTTCAGCTAAAAGTTTATCATCAGAAGCACTAAGGTCTGTTCAATAAATACAAACAGCGAGCGACAGCCCCTCATGTATCAGTTGCTGCTTGTTTGTTACCTGGGAGTAGTCTGGTTTTAGAGGTGGATTTTCTCGTAGCTCTGGGTCCGTGTATTCATTGTTGACATAATAACCGATCCGAATAAATTCCTGTCCCCGGTAGGTGCATGTTATGAGGACTACAGTCACTCCGACAGCATCACTTTCTGGAATCAGTGCTGTGTTTGGAGCATCGGCCTAATTAAAAGAAAAACAAACATTAAACTCAAGTGCAACATAAAATCCAATTTATACCAAGCAAATCAAACACCTGCACTTGAACGCACCTGAAACACAAACATATGCCTTCCGGCTGGTACCGGACCGACTAACACGGAGTCCAGAACCTGGTCGTATTCTTCACTCTCAGCTGAGCCCACATAGATGATCTTCCACTCCAAATCTGACAGAACACAGAGGGAACGACAGTAAGGGCTCATCTCAAAGTAAATCTTAGTTAAGGAATGTCAGATACAGCAACTAGTATACATAATAAAATAAAATAAACTCTTGCTGGGCAATTAATTGCTTCAGAAATTATTGCGATAAACGATAATATTGTTTGAAACTTGACAATAATTAGTAATTATTGTCAAATTTAAGACAAAATGTTGGTTGTTTTGCATGTAGTACCTTTTTTTGACCACCAGACGGCAGTATGAGACTGGTTCAACCGAAGGATGGATAGTGAGGGAGCGAGCAGCGTGTCTCTTTGAGAAAAATGGAAAAGAGGCCAATTGATGTGACATGGGCTGACGCTTGCTGTGGTTTGAGCTCTTTAAAAATCCATAAAGAGGATATATTTGACTACATGTTTATGTTCATTTTGTGCCATTAACCAAACTGGGGGTATTCTTATTCATCTGTAAGAAACTGGCAAACTGTTGTATGTAACCAACTATAAAAAAACAAACACCATCTTGTCACGGTTTCAATAAAATAAACTGAATCTAGAGAAGAACCTGGGGATAATTGTGAATATTTGAATCTAGCCAGGAAAATGTTTTTATTATTTATTTATCAGAAACTGACCGGTGCGTTGAAGAATATAAATTTGAGCTTGCTTGGGCCAACATGCAGTTTTAAAATGTGATAAATTAGTAGTGTTTCATTTAAAAAAAGGGTTGAAATGAAGTTATGAATTAGTTACCTGTTGGGCTATAATTTAAGGCTAAAAATTATAATATAAATACCATGGACTATAAGTTAAACCACATATTCAAGTCAGCCTTAAGATTGATTAAAGAACAAAATGTTCATTATTATAAAAAGGAGCTTGCTTGGCCTGTTTTGTTTAGAGGAAATTAAAGAAAAATGCAGTGTATCTGAGAGGATACAAAGTTGTGTGTTAAGTGTTACAAATAACTAGTTACACAAATGCCAAATATCAACAACAGACATCCCTTTTGAAATGTTTTATTGTGTAATGTCAAGTAACGCTTGCAGACAGGACACGTGCTGTTAGTTCATGATTTTTAAATAGGCAAAATACTAATATAAATTGATTCAGACATGGCATTATTTTCAAACCATAGACTTCTGAAAGTAGTTCGCGGCAACTCGTTGAGCCCGTTTAAGCCCTTCCCAAGCGTAATGTTATCACCCAATGAGCGTCTAGAAAAGAAGTCACGTGAACGTCGTTTAACCAATTGCAGCACAGAGGAGGCGGGTCTTTCAGGACAAACGCGCCAGCGCCAAATTTCAACGACTCGAAAAAAGGCGTATCAAAGAATGCTAAACATGGCTAAATGCGAGCCATTACTAACCAAAATAACGTGAATGCGAATTTTTGATTCATAACGCATGACTAACATAGAGCTTAGATCTTTAAATAAAGTCACCCAAACGTGGCAGCTGTCAAAAGCTAACAGTGTAATTTAAATAGCGTTTTTGGGTTCGCGGAATAGAATACATACCTTCTGGCAAATCCTCCATGCATTCAAACGTTATTTCAAACTGAAACGGGTTTCCAAACGGGCTTGGGTTGTCCAACACAGCAACGTTTAACACTTGTACCTTGGCCATGGCAGAATTCAATCTTCTGAGGCACCGACCTGACAAAGTAAATAGCTTATTTTTCCGTCTTACGTGAGGAAATTTGGAGGAGCCACTCGGCACTTAAGCGTCGTTGCTCACGAGCACACTGAAAAACTGAAGCTCCGAGGCGGAAAGAGTGGACGTTAAAAGTTTGAGCCTTCTATTCTCAAAGAATACCTACTAAAATGACACACGGGTGGATTTAGGGAGAGGAAGTGCGTCACTTTCTCTTCTTCTCCTTCCGCGATGACGTTACACATTTAAAAGCTGCTGCCCCCTGGCGGTCATCTGTAAAACAACAGCAGCATGACATTATCCTGGACTCGTTTTTCTTTTAATCATTGTTATTTTGAGCAATTATATTTTAGGGACAATATAGATTTAAAAAATGTGATCTTCTTTGTGTGCTTATTGTCCATTTTATCAGGGTAAGCACATGTTAATGGCTGAATATCATTACTAAGAACAATTATCCCTGTGTTCAATAGAATAATAAAATCACACATTTGTCTAATAGCTTTAAACAGCTGATCTGTTACTTTATAAAGTACATTACCTGAGATATTTAATGTCATACATTTGCATTGTTGTAGTTGACTCTTTTAAACAGTATAACAGACTAGCTATTTAGGTCTTTGCTTCTGCTGAGTCTGGATGGAGGGATTCAAAGTACATATTTTGAATAAGACCATGAAAGAAGTTAATAGGTTTACTAAAACCTTTTCAGTATGTATGTATGTATGCTGTATAAATAATATTTTATGTATTTATTTATTTAATCTTTCGGCAGTTCTGTTCGTCAGGGGTCGCCGCAGCAAATTAACTCGCTCGAAGACTTGGCAATTGTTTTTACGCCCGATGCCCTTCCAGACACAACCTCAGGCCACCGAGCTGCCACAGCCCTCGGTGTAGAACAAAGAGCTGCTGTCTAGGGTGCCCGGGGGGAGCAGATGATGGGGGTTAAGGGCTTTGATCGAGGGCCCAGAGTGAAGCAAATGAGGGTGGAGGTAGGTGCGGGTGTTTCACCTTTCCTATACACATTTTGATGTCGTCAGTCCGGGGAGTTGAACCGGCGAACTTCAGATCACAGGCTTGCCTTTCTAACCTCTGCGCCACCACTCCCCCTTCCACAACATATATAGCACCATTTAACCTCTTCAGTGAACAAATCTGTGTTTTGTGTATTTCTCTAGATTTTGTGATTCTTGTCTTTATTTTACTTGTGTTTCCTGCCTCCTCAATGTTTCTCCCCTCGTGTCATGAGTTCCTGCCTCACCCGTTCCCAACCCCAATCACCCCAGGTGTTCATCATTGTGTCTCTTTAATTTCAGCATCTTTGTGGTTCCACCTTGTCTGTGGATTGTGCTTCCCATAGCCATCATGCTCTGTTTCCTTTGTGTCTCCCTGATTCCCTGTTTATTTGTAAGTTTTGCTGCCACGACAGCTTTTGTTTCGTTTTTTCCCAAAATAAATAGTTATTTTTTATTTTTACCATCTGCATTTGGCCTCAACTCAACGCAGCGTGTGATATTCAGCTTCTGCAAAGCTCTTAACAGAGTTTCTCATCCCACTGTTCAGACACACACTCCTACAGATTTAAATATTCTTACACACTATATACAGCACTTTCTCATATTCTCACTCATGCAAATAAGCTTAATGATGGGCAGTGTTTTGTCCAAGGGCACGTCGGCACACTGCAGAGGCTGGGGATCGAACCTCCAACCCTCTGATTGTAAGACATTGCCCTATAGCTGATTGCCAGGCTGCTGTTTCTAATAATAAATACTTTTTAAATTCATAATAAAACATATTATTGTAAATGTGTTGTTCTTCTGCGTCAAGACAAATAACTGAAATATATTTTCTTTATTAATTATTAAAAATAGACTACCACAACATGACACCTCTTAGTTAAAGACATAATTTTATTTTTAATTGTGGCAGAATATTATAATACTACATTACGATCAGTGTGGTCAAAGGCGTGGAAATCATGAGAAGACTGAAGGAGTCTGGATTGGCCAGGACCAAAACAAAACCTCCATTAAAGGTAAAAAAAAAATTAAAATACTTAATTTCTAGATTAATGGGAAGGATACTTACAATAAAAAGTGGTCCATGAAGGAGAAAGAAATGAAAGAAATTGAGAAATGGGATAATAAACACAAACAATGAGTATAAATATTGTTAAAATTCACATTATCGCCATACTTTTAATTTTATCAGCTGTACTCCCTCCACAACCAAAGGCTGTGACCATGAGGGAACTTTGTATCAAACTTATATAAAGTGTGGTCACAAAAAGATGCATACCATATGAAAATTAAAAAGATGGAGGACTTGGAGAATGAGATCTGTGTTCAGCTGCGAACGCTGGAGTGCTTTAAATAGGAACGTCTCATGGGTTGGAACCAAACAGACTCATAGGAGTCAATTAAAAGGCAAAGCATGACCAGGAGTCCCATTTTATAAACTTCTTTATGGAGATACAAAAAAATAAAAAATCATATGAACCGTAATTAGATCAATAAAGAACAAAACAGAGACAAGAATAAAAATATAAATGGAGGTTTTGTTAAATATAAACTTGCAAACCCAGTAAAATATGTAAATGATAAAATAATTTCTAATCTCTAATAAATATGAAATCTTTATATTTATCTGACGTGTTGTATCAGCCCTCTGAGTGATCTTAGCTTATCTACAGCTATAAAAACATTTTTATTTTTAATAAAACATCATCCATCCATCCATCATATTGACCTGCTTCTTCTTTTTCGGGTCACAGGGGTCACTGGTGCCTATGTATCCAGCAATCACTGTGTGAGAGGCGGGGGACACCCTGGACAGGTCTCCAGTCCATCACAGGGACACATAGAGACAAACAACCATTCACTCTCTCACTCACACCTAGGGACAAGTTAGAGTTACCAATCAGCCTAACATGCATGTTTTTGGTCTGTGGGAGGAAACCGGAGAACCCATAGAAAACCCACATGCACAGAGAGAACATGCAAACTCCACCCAGAAAGTCCCCCGGCCGGGATTTGAACCAGTAACCTTCTCGCTGAGAGGCAACAGCTCTTCATACTGATCCACCATGCCGCCTTAAAACTTCCTTAAATAATTTATGTTCAAGGTGGTTTACGTGAATCTTCAGTCATTAACTTGAGCTACATTTATTTTTAAAGCTGGTCAGGACATTTTTTATTTATTTATTGTTTGTGAGGATTTAGGTTGCATACTAAACTTTACTTAAAAATATTCTGCACTTTTAAATGATCGAAAGTGACATTTACAAGCACAAAACACATACATATTCAAAGAGTTCATTGAATTGAGAAAGCTCCTCGGATGAGGAGCGAAACGTCTTCTGTTACAAATAAAGTCCAGTTGTTTTTGTATTGAACGCTTTTTGAATTCATCACGTCCTGGATGACTGAGAATCTTCACCAGCATATCATTCTTTTAAGGACAAATTATGTCACTTCTTTATTCGTATGCGTGCATCCTATCTGGACTCACATTGTGCACATCTAAAATAAAATCCGTACTAGGTAAAAGTCACATTTCAGACATAGACAATCACATTTTTACTTGCAATCAAGTTTGATTGTATACGTCTTAACGTGCTGTTTGCCTGATCATCACACCAGAAATTTGACTTTTTTCCTAATTTATTACGAAACAACAAAAAACACATTTTAAAAATCAAACGTGTTGGGTTTCTCGTTAATTTAACTTTGTTGTCTAGCTTAAGATGCGTATGTTGAACCCCCAAAACAACAACAAAACAAGTAAACATAGAAAACCCCTAGAAAATCACGCATAAACAAATGTAGGGTGTTATTCAAATAACACAAAATTGTTCAATTAAGTCTCAGCCGAGATTTTATGCTTAGTTATTTCATCTTTTATTGTGTCACTTGGTCAATCAGGATGTGATCAATAATCATTAAAAACATGAAAAAGGCTTTATTTCCTTTAGTTTCACTTAAAATGACAGCCAAAGTCTCGGTACTGCTCAACCAGGTCCTCCATGCCCAAACAAGTCGGTCGGTACTTCTCAGTCTGGCACTCGCTCTCTGTGGGCCAGTACTCCACCCAGGTATTCGCACCAAACATGTACTTATATCTGAGCACAGGAAAATGTACAATATATCAATTTATTATTTTTTTTTACCAGGTTTATAAAAAGCTGTAAGAAGAATAAATAACAAATATTTGAGTATAATCATACAGGAGCAAAAGTAAACGGTGTACATTTACAGTTCTCATTTTTAGATGTTAAAAGAAATCCATTTTCCTCCTCTTTAAAATAGTTGGCTTCATTACCACATGTGTAAATTCAAGTATTGGCACAAGCAAGAATTTACTTCAAAACGAGGTTATTTTTTTTTACAGTTTGAAACCAACAATAACTTGTTTTTATGCGTACTGTTGTATAACACTGGATGTTTCTGATATTATGAAGAGTTGTCACACTCCATCTGTTTATGGCATTTGTAATGATACAAAAGCGTTATTAACTTATTCTAACTCTCCTTTTTTAAACTAAACATAAGGTTTCAAACTTTTTTGAACTTGTGTAATGAGTTATAGCACTCTGGTGCACGTTCTATCCATCCTCTTCTTGACTGCCTGGTTGACCTAAGGGACTGGATGGCTTTAAATTTCTTAAATTTTAATGAGAAGAAGACAGAAGTCATGTTGTTTCCACCAGGGTACGATCAAGAACCACGGTATCGACCTGTCCTCTCTAGCCCCGTTAGAGAAATAGGTTGTCACTAATCTGGGAATGAAAATGGACCCTTCCATGAAACTAAAGAGTCACGTAAACACGATTGTTAAATCCTGTTTATTTCAATTGAGGCAACTGTGTAAACTGAAGCCCATAATGTCCAATAGAAACCTCGAGACAGTAATACATGTATTCATAACATCCATGCTCGATTACTGCAATGCCCTTCTTTTTGGAATCAGTCAGACCTCTATAACACATTTACAACTGGTCCAAAATGCTGCAGCCTGATTTTTAACTGGTACAGGCAAAAGAGAGCACACTGCACCAGTTCTGGCCTCCCTTCACTGGCTCCCGCTTCACTTTTGAATTCATTTTAAAATCCTTCTGTGCATTTTTAAATCTCTGAACAGTTCTTCCAACTCCCGTCTCACTGATCTGCTGCAGCCATATGTCCCACTGCGCTCTCTGAGGTCAGCAGACCAGACGCTTTTACTGGTTCCAGGCACTGGTTTTAAGCTCAGAGGTGACACCTTCTCTGTTGCAGGTCCAAAACTGTGGGATGAGTTACCACTTCTCTCACCGTCTTTAAGTCTTGTTTGAAAACTCACTTTTATTCCCTGACATTCGACACTGAGTGAGTTGATTTGAACTTATCTGTATTTCTCGTGTATTATCTGTACAACCCTGCTCCTCATTTATAAAACATGTTTTGGTTTGAGTTCTTTTCTCTACGTTGAATACCTTGTACACCAAACCTGATCACAGGCGTTTGGAGAAGGGGTTCTCTGCAGACCAAAAGTGGGCGTTTCTGGAGAATAGGCGTTTCTAGAGGGCAAACACTGATTGGCTAACTGTATTTGCTGCTCTTTGGGTAAGTTACTTCAGCTCTTTTTTTAAACTGAAGCTTTATAAGAAACAGCGTTATATCTGCTGTCAAACACAAGAAGATTCTCTTTTGTTCTTGGTTGTAGCTGCACCTGACACAGGTTGGCTTGAGTGTGGTCTGGGTACAATGAAATATGAAGCATCTGAAGCAAAACCTGCTCCTATTTGTCAAAAAGTCTGGTCTCAATTAAAGATCATGAGTCCTGTAACGAGATAATGGCCCAAAACAAAAGCTAAAAACAAAATTTGGTCTTTAGAAGTTCTTCTACGAGATCTGATCTATGAAAGGAGCTGAAACATGGAGTAGGACTGACCCTTAAAATGTGAGACAGCTGAGGAAGCTAACCAGTAAACAGAAATACCTGCTCCAGTTGCAGAAATCTGACAGAAACTGACAATCACTCATCTGCAGTGACTGCTTTAAAAGGTTGAACAAGAAAATGTGAAGTTAAAGATAACATCCTTTGTCCCAAAGCCAGTTAAGTATCATTAATATTTTGGTGACTTTATTTTTCTTTCTTTATGAATTGATTGTAACAATTTTCACATTATTCAATAACCAAAACTGATTTTGTTTTTTTAATGTAATGGCTAGGTATTACAAAACAAACATTTAGCTCTCCCCACAACCCATTCATGCTGCTCTTATTTTGAAATATAACCGAAGTTCTTTGTTAAGACAGGCGGAAAGAGACGTTATGGAGACTCCGCTAATCTCGAACTGGCATAGACATAATATTGTCTGTGGTTAACACCATAGATATCATATAAACACGTTAACACAATCTGCCAATAACACCTTGGTTTTTTTTCATCCAATCAGATGTGGCCCTCCAGTAACGTCTTTTTTCTTATCGTCCAATCAGACGTGACCCTCTAGTAACGCCTTTTTTCTTATTGTCCAATCAGACGTGACCCTCTAGTAACGCCTTTTTTCTTATTGTCCAATCAGACGTGACCCTCTAGTAACACCTTTTTTCTTATCGTCCAATCAGACGTGACCCTCTAGTAACGCCTT